TTGAAAAGAAGGAATTGGATTATGTAACCAACCCAGTCACATAAGCTAACAATGGCTGTACCTCTAAATAAACTATCTCATGACTTCCTTTAGGGGTTAAGACTTCCAGAATGATATCTGTTTTCCTTTTACTTCAAGCCAGAGGTCCTGAGTTCAATTCTCAGCACCCACACGGTGACTCACAACCATCTATAATGAGATCTGGTGCCCTCTTTTGGCCTGCAGGCATACATGCAGAACACTGTATATATAATACATAAATAAAACCTTTTTTAAAAAAGGAAAGTGGTCGGGCATTGGTGGCGCACGCCTTTAATCCCAGCACTTGGGAGGCAGAGGCAGGCGGATCTCTGTGAGTTTGAGGCCAGCCTGTTCTCCAGAGCGAGTGCCAGGATAGGCTCCAAAGCTACACAGAGAAACCCTGTCTCTCGAAAAATAAAAAAAAAAATAAAAATAAAAAAGTGTGTGACGTATGCATGTAATGTGTGGATGGCATGTAATAGGTGCTTGATGGCTGTTACCTCTCTTCATTCTTCTCCTTTGTAAATACGTTTTGATTGCTAAGGTAAATGAGAAACTGTGAGATTAGTTTTATTTATGTTTTACACAGGGTCTCTCACAGTGCAGTCCTATGGCTCCAAACTTCCAGAGATCTGCCTGCCTCTGCTTCCCAGGTTGTGGTACTTAAGGCTTTTGTCACCACACCTGGCCTGTGAGGTTTGCTTATGGTATTGTTCGGAGACCAGCAAAACCAACAATTCTTTAGTCTTGGATTTGGAGAGGGAGAGGAATTAAGGATCAAAGATGAAGGAAATTCCCGGCATGTATCCATTTATTTATTGAGAATTTGTTAAATATTTAAAGGTACTATATACACAAGATAAAATGACAAGGTAGCTATCCAAAGAAATAAATCAATAGGCTTGTTCCTAATATTTCCCATTTATGCTATGTCTAACTGTCATTGGTATAACTGCGATAAATAATGGTTTATTGAAAAAATTAATAGGGGCAAGCAAGATGATAGCTCAGTGGGTGAAGGTGATTGATTGCTGCCAAGCCGGGTTACCTGAGTTTGATTTCTGGTTACCCACGTGATAGGGGAGAACAGACTTCTGTAAGTTGTCATCTAATTTCCACATGCGTTTCATGGCATGCATGTAGCTCCACCCACACAATAAATAAATAAACAAATAAGCAAGGAAGCAAATGTAATTAAAAAAAGATTCATCCATGAGGACTTGTGGAATATTCTAATCTGGATCAGACTGAGGTACTTGAGAGTTTTTGAAGGTAGACTGTCAAGAGGGACGGGGATGACAGGGATTATTTTACAGTCCTGTTCAAAGCTCTGCTGGGGCCGCCATCTGCATGCTAGAGTACTTGCCTAACATACTCAAGGTCCTAGGTTTGATCCCAAACATGGGAAAGACAAAATCCTCTGTGTTTTGTTAAGTTTTCCTTTTAACTTACTATCTTGTTAATCTTTCTCTTGTACAGATATGTCTTGTTATTTTCTTGTCTGTATTGGAGTTTTGTTTTTTGTTTTTTGTTTTGTTTCAAGACAGGGCCTTAACTTTGTAGCTCAGGCAAGCCTCACACTCCCTGTATTGCTGAGGCTTCCCTTGAAGTCACAGTATTCCTGCTTTTCATTCCTAAAGGATTTTAGGCATGCACACCACACTTTGTAGTCTTCGGGTTCATAAGAAGTAAATTTTTATTTTTTTTTTTACATATTTCCCCCTTTTCTATATCCTTAACAAAATATATCTAAATTCTATGTTTTGTAGTCTTGGTCATAAATAAATTAGATTTTACTCAGGTTCATATAAATACAGATAACAAGTGTTTGGGTTTTCAGATGGTTTATAAACAGTGGTAATTTCATTTCAGATGTCTTTCCTGAACTTTGCTCTTGTAAACTCAGCTGTCTACCCTTAGATGTCTCAAATTAAGCATATTGAAAATCCAGCCTCCATCTGCCCAGACAGGGGCCACAACTACCCTTCCTTATTTTAGTCATTATGGTTTGTTTGCTCAGGCAGAACAGTTTGGGGTTCGCCTTGACTTCTCTTTCTCCTGGCCCCCACACCTAGTGTTGCATCAGAAAACCCTGCTGCCTTTGCTTTCAGTGCATCTAGAATCTAGCTAGTGGCTTTGGCTCCTGTGTCTTCCAAGCTCCTCTCATGACTCACTGCAGCGTTCTTAACTAATTGCCCTGCTTTAGCATCACATCCCTTTCCACACAGCAGACAAAGTGATCCTTTTAGAATCTAAGGAGGACTGGGCCACATATCTTTCTAATACCTGGATCAGCTGATTTTCCCCTCAGCATAAGAGCTGCAGTGCTTTTGGTGGCTCGAAAGGTCCTGCCTGGTCTGGCTTTCTTTCCCAGCAATCATGCTTTCACCTCAGCACCTTTGCACTAGCCCTGTGCTTACAGTGTTTTCCCTCAGGCACCCAGAAGGGGCCCTTCACCTGCTCTACCTGAGCCGGAGGCTTTGACCAGTTTTACAGTGTCAGGCCTGAACTGTGGAGCAGGCCTCATCCAATCTAAAGCAGGTGGTTATCACCACAGCCTTTGGGCCACCATTTATTCCACATTTTTGCCTAACATTTCACCTTCTTGGTGAGTCTACCCTGACTGCCTTCTTTTCTGGTGTTGTTGGTGAACACTGTATAAGAATTTGACCACTGAGCTTTGCTCTCAAGCTTCCTGGTCACTCCCTTGAATCCTGTAACCTGTGCCCCTTGTCCTCCTGACTTTCTTACCTGTCTCTGCATTTCCTTCTCACCTTAAACTAATAATCTGAGGTACTGATACTATTATTTACTGTGTTTCCTTTTTGTTGTTTGCCTTCTGTTGGAATGTAAACTTTCTGAGGGGAAGAATGTTTTGTTTGCTGTTATATCACAAGCATCTGCTATGGTGCCTCCCACTTAATAAGTGCCCTGTAAATATTGTTTGAAATCAATGAAAGATAATATATGGTTAGTGATTTTGGAAGCTTCTGTTACCCAGGTCATTTCATCTAGCAGATGGACTTTGTTGTTCCCTGAGTAGTGAAGCATCATTGGGTAGAAAGTCATCTATTGGTAGGAGAGTAGCATCATAGGAGAAATTGTATTTTTAGATTTTGATTTTGGAGATGGGCTTACTGTGTAGAATAGGGTGGCCCTGAACCACAGAGGTCTGCCTGCCTCTGCTTCTTGAGTGCTAGCATACACCTTGAAACCCAGCTTAATCCTCCCTCCCTCCCTCCCTCCTTCCCTCCCTCCCTCCTCCCTCCCTCCCTTCCTTTCCTGGTGTTGGGAATCAAATTGAGGGGCTCATGGTGAGGAAACACTGGACCAAAACAAGACTGAAAACCAGCTGGGAAAACTCCAGACTCTGCATCTCAATGTCTGATGTCAGATGCTCTTCAGATCCCCAGCTCCTTTCAGCTTTGTTGACTGTAACACACTTCTTTCTCTTTGGGCTGGTTCCACTCCGAGAGCAGCTCTCCTCACAGGTGTCTCACGACTCTGGCATCTCTGACATCTTCGGGTCTCCAAGGCCGCCCAGACGTCAACTTCACAGCTTCATATAATGCTCTCTCTACTAGGCTTCCATGTGACACCCTGACACATTCCTGGCCTACTCGGCTTTCCTTAGGCATGGAGACCTGTTCTTTTATCCATCACTCCAGAATCACATGGCTGAAGCTGCCAAATTCTGCTGCTTGCTGGAGCTGGAACATAGTCTCCTCATTCAGTTACATCTTGACCAGCTGTCTGTCCTTCACTGCCTAAGCTTGGCTGTTCTGAAACTTGCTCTGTAGACCAGGCTGGCCTCTAACTCTGAGATCCACAAGCCTCTGCCCTCCCAGTGCTGGATTAAAGGTGTGTCCCACCACACTTGGGTCAGAATTTAGCTGGATCTTGCCCTGAGGTCACCACTCCCTATGTTCCATTTCTCAATCCACTTATCTCCTTGAACACAAGACTTAGCTCCATTCCACTTCCTGGTGCTCTTTTTCTCCTCAAAATTTACGTTTTGTTATTTACCCTGCTCAGCTTGCTCCTTTGCATCATAAATCTTTATAAGGGTGAACACTAGTAACCACATGACGGAGTTTGTTCTAGGCTGTTTTGAGATTTCCTCTGTCGACAGAATTAAACCATATCTCTTCAGTTTAGCCTCAGGCATTATCTTCAGACAAGGGCAAAAGGCAGCCACTTTCTTCACCAAAATATCTCAAGGACTATCTCTACGCAACGTATTGGAATTCTTCTCTGAAACCTCAGGAGTGAGCCTCTGTCTTCTTCCATGCTCTTAAACAGAGCTTAAAGTATTCCACTGCTTTCCAAACCTAAGTACCTAAGTCCAAATTCCTCCAAACAAAAACATGGTTAGGCCAACACAGCAGTACCCCAGTCCCTGGTACCAACTCCTGCTTTAGGATTTTCATTGTTGTGAAGAGATACCATGACCACGGCAACTGGCTCACAGTTTCAGAGGTTCAGTCCATTATCATGGCGGGGAGCATGGCAGCAGGCAGGTGGACATGTGCTGGAGAAGGAGCTGGGAGGACAGAGAGACAGACACAGACACACCGGGTAGTATCCTGACCATAGGAAACTTCAAAACCTGTCCCCACTGACACACTTCCTCCAACAAAGCCACATTTCCCAATAGTGTCGCTCATTATGAGATTATGGGGGCGAATTATATTCAAACTGCCACAGGTTTCTATATGTAACACCCCTGGCTGCCCTGGAATTTGATTTGTAGACCAGGCTGGTCTCGAACTCACAGAAGTTCATCTGTTCTGCCTCCCTGGTGCTGGGACTACAGGCCTATCCCACCACACCTGTATTAGACATTAGAACACGAGGCCCCAGTTTAAGGGGAGCGTGAGTTATTTTTCATGATTATTTAATAGGCAGAAAGAATAGGCCCTCTAGCATAGCGGAAAAAAAAGGACTGAGGCCTCAGGCTTGCCATTTTCCTTTCACAGGGCATCTGACTGGAAGTTAGACCAGCCAGATTGGACTGGCCGCCTCCGAATCACTTCAAAAGGGAAGATCGCCTACATCAAACTGGAAGATAAAGTTTCAGGTAAGCGCAGGGGTGCTCTCAGACATGGGGGTGCTGGGTTGGTAGGCTTTTGTCAGTCGACTCAGATGGGGGACTGGCAGGGAAAAATCCCTGTTAATTGGAGTTAGCTTTGCTTCTGATGCTCAAGGAGGTCTCTTTCTTGCTGTTAGGGGAGCTCTTTGCTCAGGCACCAGTAGAACAGTACCCTGGCATTGCTGTGGAGACTGTGACAGACTCCAGCCGCTACTTCGTGATCAGGATCCAGGATGGTACCGGTAAGGAAGCTGGGGTTTCTGGTGGGATGAGACCAGGAAATAGCGAATGAGCTCTGATACAGTGGTTGTCTTCCTTTTGCTAACTTTTCTTCCCTTGCTTTCAAAGTTACTATGGTTATCAAAGAAAAAGGGCTAACATTTTATAGACGTGAGCATAAGTTCAATTGAGTTTAAGTTAAATTAATCAAAATGCTTATTTAACAAAAGACATGCACTACCATGCCCAGCCTCCTCATACTTTTTAATAGATTGGTAACCAAAGACAATAAATATTTTTGGCTTTGTGGGCCACGTTGTAAGTGCTGCTCCCAGTTTGGTGGTTGCAGGGTGAAGTAGCCACAGACACATTTGTCCAAGTTGATGTGGCTGTATTCAGTAGAACTTTATTTTCAGACTCTTGCTGTGGGAAGAGTTGGCCTCATTCGGCTGCATGTTATCTGCTGCCTGCTGCTGGTCTGTGAGAAAATACCAAGCAGATTTTATGCAGTTCGTGTGACATTTTTGTTTTTGATAGGCAGAAGTCGTCATAAGGAACCCGTTTTCTGAGATTGCTCCTTTTTCACAGGGCGTAGTGCATTTATTGGCATTGGCTTCACAGATCGGGGGGACGCCTTCGACTTTAACGTTTCCTTGCAAGATCACTTCAAGTGAGTGAAGCTTGTCCTTAGATTTCAGGGCTAGTAATCCCGGGGTGGGAGTGCTGCTTCTTTCTGTAAGGGAGTTCCTCTCGCCACGTGGTTTATTCAGTAGTCTCTTCTTTACTTTTTCCTTACCTTTGTACCTGCTGTCTTTCTGTACAGCCTGTAATATATTTTAGGTCCTTGTGCGGTGGTTTGGGTTGATGCTTGTTTGTGACCATGGGGAATTTACCTTTCTCCTAAAGAGGTGCTGGAGGGTGGCACACGGTGGCAGCAGCCTGTCCATGACAGGTGTGTGCCTGTTCTGTCAGTTTGGCTGCTTGTGTGTCTCTTGCCTATGTATCTTCTTCAGCCCCACTGAGTTTGGCACAGCAGTAGTGAGCAGCACCTAGCACCACATCACTTCCTGTCTCTAGGATGGTGTAGCCCTCTCTTCTTATTGCTCCTAACTCTGACATTTAAAGCCCCGAGATGGAACCTGCAAGAACATGGTAACCGACCCCTCTCCTTTGGGGCGGTACTCTGCAAGGGCCGAGAACCGTTGGGAGGGATGCATCTCCCATGCGTTCCCTATTGCCCCTCAGTCTGAGCCCAGCTGGCCTCTTGCAGACTCTTTTCCCTTTTCTTTCTCATGTCTGATGGGTCCCCACTCGGCTTTCTGGAATTCCAGTTGTCTGAATGGGATTTAGCCAGATTCCTGTCAGACTCTGCTTCTTCAGGGAATTCCAAACTGAGATAAGTTATTTCCCCAAAGGTGGGTGAAGCAGGAAACTGAGATTTCCAAAGAATCTCAGGAAATGGACAATCGTCCCAAGTTGGATTTAGGCTTCAAGGAAGGTCAGACCATCAAGTTGAGTATTGGGGTAAGTGTGATTTCTTCCTTTTTTTTTTTTTTTTTTAATTTTCTGTGTATGGGTGTTTTCCTGCATATATGTTTATGCACCACAGGCATGCAGTGTCTGTGGAGGCCAGAAGAGGGTGTTGATCCTCTGGACTGGAGTTACAGGTGGCTATTAGCCGCTGTGGGGGTTGTGGTGGTGCTGGGATTCAAACCTGTGTCCTCTGGGAGAGCAGCCAGTGCTATTTACTGCTGAGCCATCTCTCCAGCCCCTATTTTCTTTTAGGAGACAAGGTGTCACTGTATAGCCCTGGTTGGCCTGGAACTTGTTATATAGATCAGGCTAGCCTTGAACTCACATATCTGTCTGCTTCAGCTTCCCGAGTGCTGGGATTAAGAGTGTATGTTGACTGAGATTTTTTTAAAAATTATTTTCCTGTTGTTCTTTAGGTCAGTGATCTCTCTCTCTCTTACAGAACATTACAACCAAGAAAGGAGGTGCTTCTAAGCCCCGGGCCTCAGGGACTGGGGGCCTGAGCTTACTCCCACCTCCACCTGGAGGCAAAGTCACTATTCCCCCACCATCCTCTGTTGCTATCAGCAACCATGTCACCCCACCGCCTATTCCAAAATCTAACCATGGAGGTAATGATGCAGGTAAAACTAATACTTAACTTTGAAAATAACTTTAAATTATGTTTTTTGTTTTGTTATGGTTTTTTTTTTTTTTTTTTTTTTTTTGTAGCTTTGGGGCCTATCCTGGCATTCACTCTGGAGACCAGGCGGGCTTTGAACTCACAGAGATCCACCTGCCTCTGCCTCCCGAGTGCTGGGATTAAAGGCGTGCACCACCAATGCCCGGCTAAATTATGGTTTAAATGGATAACAGCCATTTGCCAAATAGTTTTGCTAGGAAGTTGCTTTGGTATTGATATGGTGATTTTGGAAGGGACCAATTTGTCTGGTGAAATGGTATCTGGTAGGTACTTTGACAGAAACCACGTGGTTATGTAAAAGACTGTGTCTGGGCTGGAGAAGACATGGTTAAAGTGTAAGTGCTGCTCCTACAGAGGTCGTGAGTGTGTGTCCCAGCAGCCAATTGGGTCAGGCAGCTACAGGGCATCTGAGGGCTCTGAGGTACAGGTCCTCATGTGTGCATACTCACGTCCAATCACACATACACATAACTAAAAATAATAAAATAATGGGAAAAAGAAGAACTCTGTCCTTCATTGTTTATTGGTTAGATGCTAAAAGGCTTGTAGATCAGAAGTATAAAGTGGTTTTGAATATGGCTTTACTATTCATGTCTGAATGCACTTGGTAAACATCACTTAAATTCTCTCTAAAAAGTTACTTATTTATCGTCAGTGGATTTTATTTTTTTGAGACAGGGTCTTTTGTAGCCCAGGCTGGCCTTGAATGTGCTATGTAGCTGAAGATGACCTTGAATTCCTGACCCACCTGTCTCCAAGGGCTGGGGTTAGGAGCGTGTGCCACCACACAGCTTACTTAAGGTCTTTGAGTCTCAGTGTGTTTTCTTTTTCTCTTTTTGAGAGGATGTTACTGTGTAACCCAGGCTGGCCTGGAGAACTCACTAAGAAATGAAACTGTGTATGTGTGTGTGTTTATATGTGTTCATATACAGATATACATACATACATTTAATACTAGAGAACCAGGTATTACACCCATTTAATATTAGAAAACCAGGTAATAGAATTTGGTAGATTTTTGTTTGTTTGTTTTTCAAGATAGGGTTTCTCTGTTTAACCCTGGCTGTCTTGGAACTTGCTGTGTAGACCAGGCTGGCCTTGAACTCACAGAGATCTGCCTGCCTCTGCCTCTTGAGTGCTGGGATCAATTTACTTTTATTTCATCAAAGGAGGGAATATAAATGATGTCTTAAAAACTTGTGACCGGGGCTGGCAAGGTGGCTCAGAGGTTAAGAGCACTGACTGCTCTTCCAGAGGTCCTGAGTTCAATTCCCAGCAACCACATGGTTATGAGAGCTGGTGCCCTCTTCTGAAGTACAGAATGGAAGCAGAATGTTGTATACATAATAAATAAATAAAATCTTTAAAAAAAACAAAAAACTTGTGACCACACTACTGAAGATCGGATTTTTTAATTAAACTTTCTATTTTGAGAATTAGAAATTCATACAGTTATAAGAAATAATGAAAGGAAGTAGACATGGTGGTACACACCTCAAATCCCAGCACTTTGGAGGTAGAAGTAGTTTAGTGTCACCTGAAATGACATAATTTCCAGGTCAGCCTGAACTATTGGGACTTTACCTCAAATTAAAAAAAAAAGAAGAAAGAAAAATACTGAAGGACTCTTGTGCCCTCCTTGTTCAGTATCTCTCACTAATAACGTCTTACAAAACTTTCTTGGACTGTCATTGACATTGACATTGATATTATCTTCTAATTTTAATCAAGTTTCTCATTCTGTGTACATGAGTGCATAGATATGTAGCTTTGGCTTTGTGCAGTTTTGCCCTGTGTAGGTTCATGGATCCACTGTGATAGACTGTAGAACAAGTCTGTATCACTTTCTGTCTTTTAAAAGATTTATTATTATTATTATTATTATTATTATTATTATTATTATTATTATTTTTGAGCCAGGGTGTCTCTGTGTAGTTCTGGAACTCACTCTGTAGACCAGTCTGGCTTCCAATTCAGAGATCCTTCTGTTGGCTCCCAAGTTCTGGGATTAAAGGGGTACACCACCACCATCTGGCTAAGATTTATTATTTTTAAAGTGAGTACAGGTGCCTCATAGGCCAAAGACATTGAGCCCCTGGAGCTGGAGTTAGAGATGGTTGTGAGCCACAGACGTAGGGGCTGGGAACAGAACTTGGGCCCTCTGGAAGATCAGCTCTTAAGTGAGAGAGTATGCTCTTATCATTGAGCCATTTCTCCAGCCTCACTGTAAGAATCCTTGGTGTCACCCTTTAAAACCACCCCCCTCTGAACCTTCCTTCTCCTATCCCTGACTCTTGGCAGTCTCTCATCTGCTTTGTGCTTATATCAAGTTATTGCTTTAGGAGTGTTAGGTAAATGGAATCCTACAGTATGTAAACTTCTGGGAATTGGCCTTTCCCTTAGTGTGAGTCTTTAGAGATATACCCCAAGTTGTCCTATATGTTGAGTTTTTTCCCCTTTTTTGCTAGTATATGTATTTACTGCAGTGTTTTTAACCGTTACCTAAGAGTATCTGAACTGTCTCGAGTTTTGAGTGCTGTGACCTTTGGGTGTTGGTTTCCCTGTGAACATATGATTAACCCCCACCCCCCATTGTTCAGATATCCTTTTAGATCTGGATTCCCCTGCTCCTGTCACGACTTCAGCACCAGCTCCAGTTTCTACAAGCAGTGACTTGTGGGGAGACTTCAGCACTGCATCCAGGTAATGGGCACGGTGCACCCTGCAGCCTCTCTCTCAGGGTATGGCCAGTGGTTCTCACCCTCCCGAATGCTGCGGCCCTTTAATACGGCTCCTCAGGTTGTGGTTGTGACATGATCTTCATTGCTACTTTATAGCTGTAATGTTGCTGCTGTTATGAAGCATATGTCAATATCTGATAGGTGACCCCTGTGAAAAGATTGTTTGACCCCCACAGGGGTGGTGACCACAGCTTGAGAATCACTGTTGCAGAGGCTGTGTCTAGTCAGGGAAGTACCTGGCACCTGTGGATTTCAGTGTGAGTCCAGGAAAAGCAGGGAAGAAGTGCTGCGACTGGTGTGGGGAAAGCTGCTGGGAGAGGCTGACGTGGGCTTCAGGCCTTGGGAAGTGGGGTTTGTGGGAAGAGTTCCTTCCGACATTCTGACAGCAGTTTCTGAGTGACTCGGAAATGACCGGACTCTCATACTCATGTGCCGCCTTGGCTTCGTGTCTCTTCCCCTGTCTTGCAGCTCTGTTCCGAACCAGGCACCACAGCCATCCAACTGGGTCCAGTTTTGAGTGTGATTGGCGTGATGTGAAGGACACACTTGAAGAATAAAAATGACCCTGAGGGCACCATTCTGTGAGGGAGTTGAGGGACCGCATCATTTCCCAGAACCAAAATCAGTGGACAATCTTTTCCGTAGCTTCTCTGTTGCTTTCGGGCTGGATTATTTTGTTACCTCTGTGTTACTTGCTGTACGCCAGGAGACCACCTGTTGTTTCCTGCTCACAACCAAGGCAGGGGAGTAGCGGAGATTATCACACTGGCCGACTGTGCAGAGTTCAGAAGGCCAACTTTGAGAGTGCGAGTGACCTCAGACATTTGTAAATTCTTGAATTTGTCTCAGAATCATCTCATGACTCCTGTGTATCTCTTTGTGATGCCCTAGTTAGCAATTTCAGGAGACAAATGCCTTGGAACTGTCTTTCCACTAACCCAGGACTAAACCAGGCTGGCCTCAGTACTTAGAAAGTTAGCTAAGATTTTCATGGGGGTGGGTTTGCAGAAAGCCGTATCCCAGGTCTCTCCTGTAAAGCCTCCTTCAGGCTTACCCCATTCAGTGAGCCACAGCACCCCCACCTTGTGTGTTTACATGTTTTTTCCCTTTGGTAAAAGGTTGTGTTGGTGGTGCCTCACTGTTTTCTACTTGTTGAGTAGCGCAGCATCTTTGACAGTGGATATTTCTGAGATGAAGGAGGATCAAGGGGCTGTGCTTTCCAGGTTGTAGTCTCCAGAAGTGTTTTTGCTACATTTGAAGCATAGCATTAATTTTACTCACCGTGGGTTTGACCTGAACATTAAGAGTTTTAACTTGATGTGTAGAGCAGAGCAGTAGAAGCGCTTAGCTCTCATGCAGTACCCACACGCCTTGCTGCCTGGTGTGGATCCCTTTTCATAAACATTTCTTGTAGTCCATTTAGCTGTTCCATGGAAAGCTGCTATTACATAATTGTCAGTGTGAAGGAGGCTAAATCACAGCTTTACCTGTGACAGCCTTTGCCCCAGGCTTTGATACCCAGCTAGGATATCTTAAAGCAAGTTACCGTCCCGTCACTTTTCTCTCCCTCTGCCCGCCATTCCTTTTACAATGCTGTGAAGAGAGCCCTGTTCAGGTCTGGGTACTGTCCACTTTGTTGGGCAATTTGAGGAGGGATTGGGAGGATTTATATTCTTCTGTGAGCACCTGTTTGGATATGTATGTTCTACCTGAAGAGGGCCCTTATATTTAATTATATTTAATACATTATTTCTCTTGGATATTTTTTTTTAGCTGTTTCAAACTTTGGGTCCATTTTTTCCCCCTCATTGCCTCCCCTTTCCAGGCAGCTCTCTTCTTGCAGAGCCATGGCAGGACGTTTAAGGTTCCAATAAAAACACTAAGAGGAAAATATAGAAAATATAGTGACTAGCTATTGGGAAACCTATTTTCTCAATCTTCCTCCATTTTGTGTTCTTTGTATTCTTAAGATGATAATATATTATGTATTTGAATTGCTGAAAATTGCAAATGAAGCTGAAGACAAATGTATATAAGGCATATGCTGTATTGGTGCAATAATGGTAATTAGAGATGTGAAAAAAGCTGGGTTTTCATCCTTTGGTTTATGTTTCTTATCTCTCTACCAATAGTAGGAGTTAAACCCAAGGCTTTGTGCATGCTGGGCAAGCACCTTACTGCTTAGATGCAGTCCCAGCCTCGTTTGTCCTTTTAGTTTAACTGGCCCAGGACAAAAGGCGACCAGTAATAAGAGGGCACATGCACTTGTCAGACATTTATTATTCAACTTTCCCCCACCCTCTTCAGAACTTACTACCCAGGACCACTAAACTGGAGGAATACAGACAAGGGCCTTGATGGTCACTGCAGCGATGGTGCTTGGGATATGCATCAAAAGCACAGACACGGAAGCAGCTTCAGTGATCGGAGGGGAAGAAGCTTTTATTGTATGGAATAAAGCATGACAGAATCAAAAGAAGGCCAGGCCAGTAAGGTGGCTCAGCAGCGAGTGCTTGCCGTCAAGCCCGATGACCTGACTTTGTCCTCAGAGAATTACCTCCTGTAAGTTGTCTTCTGACCACATGTGTGCCATGGATACTGTACTGGCTGCTTTGTTTTGTTTTTTTGTCAACTTGACACAAGCTGAGCAAGACACTAAGCGGCACCTCTCCATGACCTCTACATCAGCTTCTGCCTCCAAGTTCCATCCCTGTTTGTGTTCCTGTCCTGAATCCTTTTGATGATGAATAGTGATATGGAAGTGTGAGCCAAATAAACCCTTTCCTCTCCAACTTGCTTTTTGGTCATGGTATTTCGTCACAGCAATAGAAACCTCAGCTAAGACACACACACACACACACACACACACACACACACACACACACTCACACACACAGTAAATAAATAAAAAAGCAGGTGTTGCCGGGCATTGGTGGCGCACGCCTTTAATCCCAGCACTCGGGAGGCAGAGGCAGGCGGATCTCTGTGAGTTCTAGGCCAGTCTGGTCTCCAGAGCGAGCACCAGGTTAGGCTCCAAAGCCACAGAGAAACCCTGTCTCGAAAAACCAAAAAAAAAAAAAAAAAACAACAACAAAAAAAAACGGGTGTTATGGGGAACCTGCATAAGACCAAACTAGACTCCCTTAATATAGGTGACAATGGTGAGACTTGGACAGTATATGAGGCCAAAGGCAGTGGGTCCAAGATCTAACACTAATGCACAAACTGACTTAGTGGAACCCATTCTATATGGAGAGATCCCTTGCCCAGTCTAAACACAGGGTGTGGGGGGGTGGGGAGGTGCCTTGGTCCTGCCTAAATGATGGGACAGACTTAGTAGACTCCCTAGGGGAGTCCTTATCCTCTCCATGGAGCAGATGGGAGGAGAGAAAAGAAGAGGGAGGGGGGAGGAGGGGGGGGAACTGGGATTGGAATGTAAAAAATAAGTTAATAAAAAAAAGAATCAAGTGTTGGGCTGGCAAGATAGCTCAGTAGATAAAGGTGCTTGCCACCAAACCTGAATACTTGAGTTCAGTCCCTGAAACCTATATGATGGAAGAAGAGAACCTAGTTCTGTAGATTGTTCTGTGAGCTCCACTCCTGTGCGGTGGCTGGCACATGTTCACACACATATGTAGACACATAGACAGTAAATAAAGCAAATCCTGGCGAAGAGTACAGAAAAGGGACACTTTTCATATTGTTGGCAAGAAAGTAAATGCCCCAGCCATCACTGACAACAGTATGCAGCTCTTCAACAAATTAAAGACAGGCTGGAGAGGTGGCCCAGAGGTTAAGACCATATGCTGTTCTTGCAGGGGACCTGGATGAGTTCCAGATTTGGTGCCCTCTTCTGACCTCTGCAGGCACCTGCACACACAGTGCACATACATACACATAAGCATAAAATTAAATGGATCTAAAAAAACTAAAAAGAAAAACAAATACTATGTGGCCTAGGAGTCTGTCTTCTGGGTAAATATCTCAGATTACCTATCTACCAGAAATTTATATGTAATATATATCCTTTATAACTTTAAAGATTTATTATTGTTATTTATCATTGTGTGCGCACGTCTGTGGAGGTCAGAAGAAACTGCCAGGTCTGTTGGAATTGTAGTTACAGTGCCTGCTAGCTGCATGACATGGGTGCTAGGAACTGATTCAGGTCCTCTGTGAAAGCCATGAGCAGTGTAACTGTGGGAGCCATCCTTCCCACACCTTTAAAGTTAACTAATATTCTCCTTGCTGTGTGATGTACGCCTCTGTTTGTGGTTGTGGGTATCCACCAGAGAAGACTGTGAAGCCATGGATTTAAACCAATAGAAAGTCTTCATTAGCCAGCTGGTGAGCACTCTAGGTGTTCAGGATCCCATTGCAGCACTGAGCCTTTCTCAGGGCAAGCTTTTAAGCACAACACCCACATTCTGGGTTAACATACTTCAGTTAACAAGAACAGTTAGCCAGAAGTGAAACTACAGAAACCAAAAAACAAGGTTAATATATTAGAGACTTTCCCAGGACTGTGGACTTTGATGGATTATGTCTTCGTTTTCTTTTTGGTAGGTAGTGCTGGCTACATGCTGAGTTTTATAGCCTGAACAGTTATGACTCCATCATGGAGTCAGTTGTGCTAAGGCCTGGGGATCTACCAAGGTCTGGGGGCCTGTTACATGTATGTGTGTATGTGGATGAGAGCATAGAGGTCACCCTTCTGTCTCCCTTACCCCTCCATGCTGGTTATAGGTGAGTGTCTGGCTTTTCTCTATGGATGTTGGTGCAGCCAGTGCTCTTACCCACTGAGCCATGCCCCTAGCCCTGAGATCACTAGATTAGAGAGAAAGAGTGTAAAGTTTATTTACTTATTTTTTTTTTTTTGAGACAGGGTCTCTCTAAATAGCGGATGTCCTGAAACTCATTGTGCAGACCAGCCTAGCCTCAAACTCCTAGAGTTTAAGGATTAAAGGCTTGTGCTGGAATATATATATGCTTGTGGTCCCTCCCTCCTTCTCTCCCTCCCTCTCTCCCTCCTTTGTACCTTCCTCTCTCCTTCATTCCCTCCCTTCCTCCCTCTGTTCATTCCTAGTTTACTTTTCAAATCTACAAGTTATGAAACAGCATATATTTCTAAAAATGTCTAGTGTGCTTGTAATATTTTCATTTGAGTCAGAAGTAAAGTGATTGTCTATTGTGAGCTCATGTTTTGTCCCATTAATCTAATCATGAAATCACATTCTAAGAATTGGCATAAAAGAGCTACTATGGTTGTTTTTTGTTTGCTTTTCAGTATTTTTTTTTTTTTTTTGAATTTGTACATTCTGATGCTATGCTGTGGCAGGAAAGAAATGTCATGGCAGCACTTCATGTGGGTATGTAGGTGTGTGTCACTGTAGGACCACTAGAGGGCATGCTTCCTCTGCAGCTGGAATAATTGTAGCCCATGTGTCTCAGATCATCTGAGATCTTTTTTGTTTGTTTATTAGTCTCTATATAGCCCTGGCTGTCCTGGAACTCACTATGTAGACTAGGCTGGCCTTGAACTCACAGAGATTTGCCTGCTTCTCTCTCCAAGTGCTGGGATTAAAGGCGTGTAGCACCACACCAGGCTTATTTGTGTGTATTGAGATAGGATCTCACTTAGCTTAAGATAGCCTTGAACTGGATGCATGACAAAGACAACCCCCCCCCATCCCCGAGACAGTTTCTTTGAGTGCCCCCACTGACCTGGAACTCACGCTGCCCACGAGGCTGGCCTCGAACTCAGACATCCACTTACCTCTGCTTCCTAAGTGCTAGGATTTTAAAGGCATGTGCCACCATTGCCAGGCTGGACAAATGAAAAAAGAAAAAGAAAAGGACATCCTAGAGTCATTGTGGCAGTGAAGTGACTTGAATAATCACAGAGCTTATGATTAGTTTCTGCAGGTTTCATCATTGATTGAAATAACTGAAGTGCTTGGAAAAAGGCCTGGTAGTCTGTCAGCTCTATGTAAGTTATCTGTACTAACAGCCCCACCCCAGCCCCATCATGGAGATGGGATGGTAAATGTTGGGGTGTGGCATTGTTCCACACCCCAGTAGGTATCCTTTGGGATGTGCAGTGCAGGAGTCATTGGATAAGGGACAAATGGGGAGTAAGAGATGATGGGGAGACAAACTGCATAGGACAAGTTTAGGGAGACGGAACATACCTTGAGGACCCACGAAGATACTCAGAAAAATCAGAAACCCCAAACCAAGTGCAGTCTCATTGTCTACTGTTTTTGGATCATTGATTCCTTGTTTGGCACTAGCTAAGTGCTTTATGAGCTACCTCAGTCGCCACAGAATCTCTAAGGTGTTGTGTGGTTACCTACAGCTCAAGCATACAGAAGTTAAATGTTAATTTTACCCACGTGTGCCTAAAGTGATGGTATGCTATGTAACGATTGACTCTGGCTGTTGTATGTACTTGAATTAAAAAAGGAAACACCCCCATTCATCATCATATTGCAGCCATACTGATTCAGTTACATTGAGTTGTTTTGCTCCTAAGTGCCCTTGCATTTTCTGGTCTTTCCTCCCCAAATAACTATGATGGTGTTAGTGTTTAGATGTGAAGTGTGCCCAGGGTGGTCCAGAGTGAGAGGTAATTGGGCCATAAGGGTTGTTTTAGGGTTTCTATTGCTGCAATGAAATGGTTTTTGTGTGCTTATGTGTAACTGCTTGCCTAAATATTCTTAGATAAAATTTATACTAAAATAAATGTTACTTAGAATTCATAATGTTTTGAACTCTTTCCTATGCCTATATATTTGTATGTATGTATTGATTTATTTTGCTTTGTATGTATATCCATATTTCTGTGTGTGTGTGTGTGTGTGTGTGTGTGTGTGTGTGTATAAATGTGTGTGTATAAATGTGTGTGCATGTACATGTGGAGGCCAGAGGCTTATGTTGAGTGTCTCCCTCAATCACTCTCCACCTTAGTTTTGAGGCAGGGTCTCTCATTGTACCTGGAGCTGGCTGACTGAGGTAGACTGGCTGCCCAGAAAGTCCCAGGAATCCCCTCCTCCACTTTGCCTGTCCAGCACTGGAATTCCAAGCACACGCCATCACACCTGGCTTTGGGTGGTGCTGGGGATCCAAACTTAGGTCCTCATGCTTGTGTAGCCAATTCTTTACCTGCTGGGCAATCTCCTTATCCCTGTTGATGTTCTTAGTGCTTTGATTATTCCCTCCAACATCTAGCATGAATGTATTTAAGCTCTGATTTATTTAACCACTGCTCTTGCTGACCCAGTTACCCAGCTTTCTTTGTGGTGCTGAGGGTTGGTCCCAGGGTCTCACATAGGCTAGACAAACACTCTTCTACCTAGACATGTCCCTATCCCATTTCGTACATTTTTGATAAAAAAAAACTAAATGTCTTTTAAGAGAAAGCATTTAAGGCATATATTTTCTAAGATAAAATTGATACACAAAAAGTAAAACAGTAGCAAGGCATTGGTGGCACACGCCTTTAATCCCAGCACTCCGGAGGCAGAGGCAGGCGGATCTCTGTGAGTCTACAAAGCTAGTTCCAGGGCAGCCAGGACTACAGAAAGAAACCCCTCCCCCAAAATAAGCAAACAAGAAAACAGTTGGGGACTAGAAAGATGGCTCAGTGGTTAAGAGCACTTGTTGTTTGAGCAGAGTACAAGGACTCAGTTCCCAACACCCAGTTTCACCATTTGTGTGACTCCAGTTCCAAGGGATCTGAGACCCTCTTCCAGCATGCATGCGGTAACATACACACATACAGATACTTATA